TCAGGCTCCAGAGATTAGTGTCTTTTCAGCTGGAGAGCCGAGGGAAGAGATTCATATTTGAGTTCCCTCAGCCTGCACTGAACGTAGATACACCTCATGTGCTCACAGCTGCACTTCGGTTTAATTCAGTTTTATTTCTGTAGCACCGATTCACACACGAGTCATCTCAAGGCTCTTTGCATAGTAAGGTCAAGATCTACAATATTCTGTTATAGAGAGAAACAATCCAGTGATTCGCCTTGAACAAGCTGTAGGAGAGAAATCTATGTTTGCACTAAAACACACTTGGCTGACAGTTTATTAGGTACAACTAGCTGACAATAATAAAATGATCCTTGAATCAATCCAGCCTTATTTTTATTTCTTTAAGAGAGGTCTTGATTCAACTGTGATCATTTTGGAGATCGTAGATTGCGGTGCTGTTAAACCAGGGGTGTCCAATCCTGGTCCTCGAGGGCCGCAATCCTGCATGTTTTAGATGTGTCCCTCTTCCAACACACCTGATTCAAATGATCAGAAGCCTGATAACGATCCTGATCATTTGAATCAGGTGTGTTGGAAGAAGGAAACCTCTAAAACATGCAGGATTGTGGCCCTCGAGGACCAGGATTGCCCACCCCTGTGTTAAACTATATTGGATCAGAGGTGTAGCTGTTATTTAGCCTAGCATTGCTAACCAACATATCAGCTGATTGCTTTTTAAGACACAGCAACAGCACCACAAGCTGCATCCTCCAACATGACCATACAGTTGAATCAACACCATAAAACGCTTTATTTTTGAGTTGAAACTGAAAGTAAGTTGATTGAAATGACTTTGAGTGTTTCCACACTGGAAGCTCAGCCAACAGCTGCAGTCACTTGACCCCCGGGACCTCATTTTAGCCGCTGCACTCCCAGATCCCTGTTAAGTTTGCAAATCAGGAATGTTGGGCAAAACTACAATAACAAGTTTTATTAAGCCAGACCAGGATTTCCCAGTAAGCTCCTGCCCCCACAGTTAGTCATGGCAGCACGGGACCCTGAAACTCAAGTAGCTAATAGAACTCAGCCATAATTAATTTCAGTTACACCTGGGGGGGTTTGTCTGCCCCAAATGAAGGCGTTTCGGTATCTAGGGATGCTGTTCATGAGTGAAAGAAAGATGGAGAGCGAGACTGACTGAGTGGTGCAGCGTCAGCAGCAGTTGCTGGCGTTGAACCAGACTGTTGTGGTGAAGAGGAAGCTGAGCTGGAAGGCCAATCTTTCGATTTACCAGTTGGTCA